ACTCTCTTCAAACACCACACCATCTGCCATTCAGCATTTCCAGGAGCATTAGACTCTTTCTCTTTCTCTCTCTTTCTCTCTACTATGGTTCCTCCTGCTGACCCCAAGGCCACTAAAGGGCACAGTAGCGACATAGGGACCAACAAGAGGAATCATTGAGCGGAATGTGGGGGATCTGGTGGAATTAGGACTCACCGCCTGCAGAAATCGACTCATTGTCCTCTATTGCAAGAACAATGCATTTTTGAGAAGTGAGCAGGAAGTTGCGCAGCCATTTTTCATAATGGCAGATGCTGGGGCCAGCGAATCTAATGTCAATTAGTAGCTTTGACACCGCGGTGAAAGGAGTACAATTCTCTATACGTCTTTTGTTTTTGTAATGTGGAACCAATGTTGCAAGATAATTCGGAAACATAGCTCTTTTATTTTCCTTTTTTTTTTATTTTCCTTTTTTTAAACCAATATCTAAATAAGCAGCAGTATAGCCCTGTGTACACCTTGACACGTTAGAAGGCGCTTTAGGCTTAATTCCCAAAGCTAACACTCCAGCACACAGATTCACCCCCCCCCCCCCCCCTTCTAGAAATTAGACAGGTTATATTCAGTCCAATGAGATTTGAAAATCACAGTATTTTCATATGTCTTCTAAAGCATTATAAAGTCTTCCCATACTGATCTCATAACAATACAGGATCAGCACTGCACATCATTCTGCTGTAAAATACACAGAAACGGAGGATACAAACCATAGCTCTAAAACAAATTTATGACCAGTATGTAAGCTTAAACTATATGTGATCCCTAACAATGAACTTATACTACATGCTCCCTTCTGGTCTATAAAATATACAACTGAAAGTGTTTTGTATCCATTTGATAAGTGCAAACAAGTTCCTATTATTGTTCCATTCTGTGACAGGTGTTAAAGTGAATTTGAACCCAAGAACAAAATTTTAATATTTTGCAGTTTACCAGTCCTTTAGATGAGGTGGCTTCATAAGTGGGTTTCTTTTTTCAGGCTCCCCCCCACTTTCGCCTCGTGATCCTGCCAGTAGCATTCTTCCTCTCCTAGGGTGACAATGCTCACTACCCGCACCACATCACGACAACTGCAGAACACCTCTTCTTCATACCATAGATCAGGGGTAGGTAACCTTGGCACTCCAGCTGCTGCAGAAGTACAAGTCCTGTGAGGCATTGCAAGGCTGACAGCCACGGGCATGACAGGATTTGTAGTTTCATCACAGCTGGAGCATCAAGATTGCCTACCCCTGCCCTAGAGGGGTTTTGTAGTCCACAGTGATCTTTAGATCGGGGGGAAAAAAAAGCAGTTTTGGGGGGGCAGACCCTGTTGGTGGCTGTACTCCAATCTGCTAGGTGACAGTCCTGTCATAGATTGTCCTGAGACTCACCCACATATGACAAACTGACTTATTGCCCTGTCACAGTGTCCCTCTAGGCAGACAGCACCCCCTAGGGACAGGCTCTGCTGGTTGCCAAATCCCCATCTGATAGTGGCAGCTCAGTCAAAAAGCAGTCCAGCAACAGCTGGTCACAGACATAACAAGAGGGGTGGGTGATGTGTCCTTTACTGAATGCTGATAAAAGGATTTTATGGCAGATACAAAAAATAATTTCCTTCTGTTATGTTGAAGGACAAAGCGGAGATCTTTAGATCTTGAGACATCCCAAAGCAGTGTCTGGCAAAGGGTGGGAAACTTAAATTCCTTTCAGGCAGTAAAAAAAGGACACAGTTGCCTGCAGAGTTCCTAGACAAATCTGTTCCATTTGGGAGAAAGAGCAGCAGGACCCTAAAACCTACTCTATGAGACTTCTGGCTAATGTATGGCTTTTCCATGGCATAATTAGACAAACTATTGAATGGTAAACCCTTCAGCCAAGGTGTCCAGCAGTGTTGCGACAACCCAAATGCCAAAAAAAATAATGGATAATGATCAGGTGATGAAGTTCCTTTCATGCACCAATTGGTCTGTCCAGGATCAGGATTGACTCATTCCTCTGGAGTAAAACTGGTTATACGGGACTGCCTCAAAGAAGAATACCATCAGCCCAAGAATGCACATGCAGAAGCAAAGAGTTGATTGACTCCTAGCCTGAAGAGTCAAAGTCTGGATGTGGAAAGTTTGACGTTTCTCATGGGGAGAACAAAAAACATCTGGCTAGTGGCTAAGGCATTATCTAGGATGACACCCAGATTTTCCAAGCGATTAGTTCGTTCCAATGATGACTTCTGAAGTTTCAGGACCCGACCAAAGTTCTACAAGGTCTGGACCGCTTGCGCCGACTGTTCCCTCACCAGGAAGTCGTCCACATATCCCAATGAGGATTCCCTGAGAGCAAAGTTGGGCTAGTCAAGGAGCGAGCACCTTGAAGAACACCTGGGAAGTGTAACAGCCAAGGCAAGTTGTACAACAGAATCTGCCAATGAGAAGGGCTTAAAAAAGGGATCTAAGCACTTGTCAATGAGGCCCATGAACACAGGAGCATCCTCTACTGGACTGGTCACAGCCTTGTTAAGCCAGGACATTGCCAGATCCACACCGAGGGTAACTTTTAAATAAGTCCTCCTCAAATGAGTACAAGCCCACTGTTTAGGAGCAGAAAACACCTTGCAAGGGTTCTTCCAAAAAACAGGAGCCCTGAATGATTTTAGCGGCCTAAAAGGTGCCCATACACTGCACGATTCTCATACGAGAATCGCGGGAAATCCCACGATCGTACGAGAATCGTGCAGTGTATGGAAGGCGTGCAACCTTTTCTACTGCACGGTCGCACGTCTTCCGTCGAACAAGCAGGCTGGAAAACCGCTGGGAATCGTACGATTTATGGCAAGTTAGTGGCCTGCTTGTTCGACAACTGCCGAACAGGCCAGTGTGAGAACGCGCACACTGCCCGTTTGCAGTCATCACAAGCCCACCCCTCAGGGGGGCGGGCTTGCCATGATCGCAAGTACGATCTGCCTGTCCAAGATGGGCAGATCGTACGTTTTTTTTAAAAAGTACTTTACAACCCTCGCAAGACAAAAGTCTTGCGAGGGTTGTAAAGTGTATGGGCACCTTAAGGGACCCAAAAGTAGTCTAACTGGGAAAAGGAAATGTAGAATCTGCAGGCAATCTTCCAGTTTACAAATGGAGCGAGCCAGATCAATAAGAGCCAAGGCAGCCTGTTTAAGTTTGAGATCAAAAATAGCTCTTCAGTTGTTAAAGTCCTGTCTTGGGAACTTCATCAGACAGGGTCTCAGCGGCCAAAGCGCCAAAGGCCGTAATGCAAGAACAGAAGAGGATTCTGTGGGGAAAGGCATGCAGCATGCTGTCATCAAGACTGTCGATGGGCTGCCTGCCTTTGGACACTGCTGTGACTGGATGGTCAGGGTCAGTGGACATCTGTGACCCCGTTGAGATTATATCATACCAAGCACCACCCAGACCACAACACAAGAGAGGAGGGGAAAGGGGTATCCATGGACCACTCCAAGCAAGCCATAGAGGATAAAAAGGGAGGTGAAGATGTATACTCACCACATCCAGGCAGGGTGAAAAGCGGGTACTTCCCCATGACAGGCAACCACCTGTCAGAGCAGAGGCTCTATCTGCCTCGGGAGACAGTGTGACAAAGCAACAAGTCAGTTTAATTTGCCCTCTGTAAAATAACTCACAGACTGCCCTAACCCAGGATAGGCCTGTGGCCTGGCTGATGGGAATTCGGCCGCCAGCAAGGGTCCTAGGCTGTGTTTTTGTCTGTGTGACTAGTGATCTACTCTTGAAGGTGGCACTATAACTCAAATGGTCAAGATCTAAAAGAACTTCAGTGAACAGAAGACAAAATTAGGCTGTGCTACTGCGTGATTAATCTTCCTACTGTAAATTGTAATGACGATATTCTATATATCTTTCTGTATGTCTTTCTGTGGATGTTGGGACTGATTGTTCTGAGGGCATGAACTATCGTTAACAATAAAACTGTTGGCTCAAGTTGGTGTAGCACAAGATCTTTTCCTCTTTGATTACTGAAACCTAAGTTGCTTGCTGTAGGATCCAATCACCTTGAGGAATCTTTTAGGAGAAGAATGGTTATTTAAAATAGGAGTGATGCAGATACCAGCTGCAATCAATACTATGGTTTTATTGCCTGTGTGAGGCATCTAGAATAAAAAGAGTACATTTGCATGTTGAAGGATTGAGTGCTGGTGACTTTTCTTCCAATTTCTTGTTATATGACACACTCCCTGTGGCCATAGACAACTGGATTAGCATTCAGGCATACTGTAAAATATACATTGACAATAATGTAGCATTAAGTGTTTATTTTTATTGTGGACACAAGGAAATGTTTCCTTGTAAATAAATTGGTATATTATATAGAAATGATTTGCATTTCATAATATATCATAATAGATTTATTTAAAACACAACATTTCCTGCCTTATTCAGTACAGCAGTGCAAAAATAATGAGAATGTGTAAAGTACATAAATCTGCAGCAACCAACCAGCATTCGTTCTTTATAAATCTGACTAGAGTACACCAAAATATGATTGGCTGCTATGTGTAAATGTACTCTACACATCATCACTGGTCTGTGCACTGCTTTAATACACATACAGCAACAAAGTGGCAGTCAGAGAAAAATGTGACATCAATGCCAGTCTATTGGAGGTCCTCTGTGTAACTACCCAGGTGTCAGTGGGGTGAGCCTTGTGCAGGAGGCTTGCAGTGCCATTCTTTCCAGGCTGGAGATCAAGGTTTGGAATAAGGGCCAGTCATCCCAAAACTGTTATTACAGGTTAACACAGGTGAGCTAAATCACACACTTCTTCGATCTCCCAAATTCACTAGCAAGATTTACATGATTTCCACCCACTATATTCTTGCCCCACCTGCATGTGTCACACCTCCAGCCGCATTCGCTGTAATGGGAAAAAAATAAATACATCGGACAGGAAGAGTGAGACACTCTTCTACTGTTTGCAGCATGATGGTGGAGCTGAATACTTAGGGGGCAGACATTTTGTCAGAGTCCCAAAAGATACAAGAAAGTGATTTAGCCCACCAGTATCTACCCAATACTGACCAATCAGTTTTAAAGCGACCAATCCTTTAAAATAAATTATTTTTTCTTCATTGCTCTCTTGCCTTCACCCTTTTTGGGCGGGCCTTTGCCACGCAGTTTGCGCAGTCGTTTCATCTCTTCCTTGAAGTCCTCATGCTCATCCCTACAAAAAAATAAAAATCAGATGAACCCGTCAACAATTATTTAAAAGAGGTCTATATGACGTTCATCAATTCATGGAACCCCCAACACTTGCCATCTCAATATTATGTCTAAGAACACTCACCGAGTGCTCTGCATGCTTGACCATTGGCTCATGAATACACTCATGGTCTTTGGAAGAATTAGGATCCATTTGTACCTGCATTCCTGGTACTGTCCCCAAGCTTTAAGGCAATTTCAGGACCTAGATTGGTGAGGTGCACATCGACTATATCGTCAAAAATATGTGAACGCACCAACTCCATATTAATGCCCATGTTTTTGGAATGGGGTGTCCAACAAGCTCATATACGTGTGACGGTAAGGGGTCCAAAAACCTTTAGCCATATAATGTACATGTCAACAGCAAAAAGTTTCCCAGCACACTCAAACAGCATGCGTTAAGACAGATTTTTGTGCGAGCTGGCGTGTGCTGGGAAACTTTTTTGCTGTTGTACTGTATAAAACCCTTCCATGTGCACCTTGCTTGAAATCTGGTTATGAGTTGATGAGTGCGTTTGCCATTTGTTTTGCTTATATAATGCACATGGACATCTGTTCATGTTATAACATCTTGTTACCCCCTGCAAAAGTCACAGCAAATACAAAAGCTTCTCAACCTGATCCCATAGTCCAGCTGAACGTACCTGAAAGGGTGATACACAATCCCTTTAGAGTCTTCAGATGTAGCAATACTGCCAAAAACGCTCAAGCAACCAAAGCTTATGTTTATGGTCTACGTTGGAAAAACATAATAGCAGCAGATAGGACACACGTAACAAAACCACTTCTCCTGTGTGCTAGTGTTTGCAAATGAACCACACAATGATTTACAGAGTGTGATGTGACGTCAAGTTATAGACAATATAAACGCTCCACATAGCCAAATGTTTAATTTATGCATACACCAGACTTTTAAATCTGGATCTGAAAGAGGAACAGTTGGTGGTTTTACACTCAGGAGGCATTTTAAAAGAGACAAACCGTTTATTTGCTGCTTTTGCTGCTGTAAAACTATCAATCACAAACATAAGGCACATTTGCCATCTTCATTCGGTCAACCACGCTGTGGATTTGTATTATTCTTCAGCGGAGAATACAAATGTGCTGTATTCATAAGACAGCCAGTACTACATTTGCTGTTTTGAAATAGGGAATCGTTATACCAGCTTAATTTTCTAAGGCCATTGCACTGAAAAGGAAGATTCTATACATCTAGAACTGTATACAGTGTCTATACAGAAACACAGCTCTTTGGATCCAAGAGGAGCAGCTGGAGACTATGCATGTATACCAATGACATGCAGACATGGGCAAATTTGTTGGTACCATTAAAAACAAAACAAAATTTTCTCTGAAATAACTTGAAATTGACCAAAATAATTGGCATTCGTCATTGTTTATTATGTATTTTGTTCACCCCCACAGCCCTCATTCAACCATAAAACTCATGAAAGAAGGGACATGATCGCTACTCAACATGGAACGAAAAGCGATTTCAAGCCCCAAATAACATCCAACCAGATCTTTCCATGAAGGTCCATTTTATCTTTGTCCCTGGTTGCCAGGCTCTCCAGCTGCATCATCTCATCCATAATGGACGCCCAGGAAACCAAAGTAGGAGCTTCTGAGGATTTCTAACACTTGAAAAAAAAAGGGGGGGCAGCCAGGAGAAAAAAAAAAAAAAAAAAAAACAAAGTCTACCTTGATGCTTTTGAAGGAGCCCAGTAGATGGGACAACCAAGCAATTTTAGAAGATTTCCTAATCAAAAGTAGATTGTGTACAAAAAGTGTTTATTTATATAATAAAAATCAGACTTTAGTTTAGATTTTTTGATTCAAAGGAATATTGCAAATAAAACAAATTAATAAAACAAATTAAAATGCAAATCAACAAAAATGATGGAACCCTTGAGTAAGGGGTCATTAAGGAGCCAGTCTGTCCAATCCAGGAGCAAGCAGAAGACAGCAAGAGAAAACCTCAAATGTTAGGCACCAGCTGTAAATTTTAAGAAGCATTGGCTACCTGGTTCCTGGGATTTGTCCAGCGTTGCCTTAACCGAACATTTTGCTGTACAACCTTGAGGGTCCCTGCTCTGGACATGTCCGGATCATAACAGTTTGTTTCGGGACCAAAAAAAAAAAAAAAAAAAAGCATCCCAATGTATCCCTATGGTATTTCTGAGCTCTGTTTACACCAGCGCAGTCCATTCCAGTCGAGACCAGAAAAGAAAAACAAATACTGCGTCTCATTTTCTCTGGTCTGGAATACACTGGAACTCATCAAAAAAGCATGCAAATGCACTGGAATGCACCTGTAAGCCCATTTGAAAACAAAAAAGCGGCAATATTGCAGTTAAAAACGCAGCAAAACGCACTGCACTTGCAGATCTGTTCCAGACCTGGTCCGAACATAGCTTAAGAGGTGACAACTGCAAACAAGACATTTCTGTAGCTCTCAGCGACACTTCTGCACCTGCTACCAGGTAGTTTGGCTCACTCTTTTTGAACAAACTACTCCAGCTCTCTCAGGTTTGAAGGGTGCCTTCACCAGACTGCATGTTTCAGCTCTTTCCATAGATGTTCAATAGGATTCAGATCAGGGCTTTCAAAATAGTCAATTTTTTTGTTCTTAGACATTCTTGGGTGTCTTTAGGGTCATTATTATCCTGCTGGAGAACTCATGATCTGCAAACGACACCAGATGTTTTGCTCCATAATTCTTTGGTCTTGAGGCTTCTCCATGTTTCACAGTAGGTGCAATGTTCTTTTCCTTGAACGCTTCATTTCTGGATTTCTGATTTGGCAAAAAGCTTTAGTTTTTGTCTCAGCTGTCCATAGACCATTCTTCCAGAAACATTGTGGCTTGTCATTATGCATTTTAGCAACACTAGCACTCCAGCGTAAATACAAGCCAATATTAATTGACTAAAAAGTGTCACATAATTACAGGCGACGTTTCGGTACCGCATAGTTCTTTCCGCAGGCAAAACAGAGAAATTTGTCTGCTGTCATTTTAGCACCCACCCAAATTTTCTGGGTTCTTTCACCAGTCAGGAGTGCGATGGGCTTCTATGCGTTTTGGATTGTCGGAACAGACACTGATGTACCTTGACACTGGAGCTAAGCTTGTATCTCTTTGGAAGTTTTCCTTGGCTCTTTGTCTATCATTTACCCTATCCTTCTGTTCAATCTGGGGGTCGATTTTCCTCTTGCAGCCACAGCCAGGAAGGCGACTACACTCCCACGGACCTTAAAACGTCTTAAAATATTTGCAACTGTAGTCACAGAAACATCAAGTTGCTTGGAGATGGCCTTATAGGCTGTGCCTACGACCTGCTGGTCTATCATTTTCTTATTGATCTCCTCGAACAACTATCTCCTTTGCTTTCTCTGGTGTATGTTGAGCGTAATGCACACAATGATACCAAACAGCAGATTTACTTGTTTTCGTCATTTAAATAGACTGACTGATTACAAGATTGGAAACATGTATGATGCCAATTACAAAAAATTGTTAGTTTGAAATATCACTCCGATGATCCATTTAAACGTTTTCTAGGGGTACCAACAAATCTCTCCACGTCATTCTAGTGATGAAACTACAAATCCCATGAGGCACTGCAAGACTCGCAGCCTTAGGCAAGATTCCCAGAGGCATTCTAGGATTTGCAGTTTCACCATAGCTGGAGTGCCAAGGTTGCCTACCACTATCTTAGTATCTCTTGAATATTATTATTATGACATAGTATTTATATAGCGCCAACAGTTTGCGCAGCGCTTTACCATATCAGATGTTGGACTGGAAGTGTTAAGTTCACATTAAGCCCAACCAAAAATGACCGATCACCACAGGGTCACTTTTACACACAAGGCAGCCGGTAAACATAGGGGACTTAGGAAAGGCATTATTTTTTTTTGGAACAATCATTCATCTATAATAAACAAGAACTTTAAGAAAACAGAAAAGACAGTCAAATTACCTGTAAAGGCCCATAAATCTCAAATTGCGCATCAGGGGGGCATAGATATGGTGTGGTGGGTACCAGTCATAAACCTCTTTCCTTTTGGCCAACGGCTGCTCACTGAAGAGCTTCACTACCTTCATAGACTTGCTATTCGTTGGCCGCACAACCTCTCCGAATATCCTGGCGCTCAGACACGACATGCGGAAAGCGTAGTTTGACATGGCCGCACTGCTGTGATCTCTGCCTATGGGAAACCGAAATCATGAACTTTAGATACTGTACGACTACATATTTCAAGGTGCAATGTGATTAAATTGACAGATATCAAAAACTCAGGGGGACACAAACTGCCAGATGCAAGTCTATAATTTTCAGGATTTATCCTGTGCAGCTGGTTGCCCTGCTAATGCTATTTCTGCGGTTGTCAGTAACCTTATCCTTTAAACAGTCGTGAATTGGAACCTGTGAAAAAAAGCAGTGCGTTTCCTGGTTCCAGCATTAGCCCCTACAAGAATGCACTGCAGCCTTGCCAAGACACATTGGAGCATTAGAGAGGGGCTGCCCAGTACAGAATCCCATAACCAGAGGCTCTATCCAACCAGAAGTGCAGTGGAAAGGCTGACGAATCTTGCTGCAAGGGATTACAAAACATAGCGGACTTTAGCAGGTCAATGGTTAAAGCAAGGCTTGAGTCAAGACCTTTTACTTCATTCTGGACAAAGGAAGAGCTAAAACCTCAGTCAGGTTTCACCTCATTTCCCGTCAGATCAGAAATTGATGGAAAATCTCTCTGACAGACAAAAATACATGGATGGTATATAAAACTATTCATTATTTTTATTGCCCTCTCTGCCTTCCTGTCTCCGTAATAACTTCTCAAGTCCACTGTAGTGTAGAAACTCAAAAACAGACCAAATTGGACTGGTTGGTCTGAGGCCTGGTTCCCACCTGGGCATTCCAAAATGTGCTTACGGTGCCATAATGGCACCCCAAACGCGGCCGGCAAATCGCGTGGTTCTCTGCCGCATTTCCCCATGTGCAAACGCGCACAAAAGGCAGCAGAAAAAACCTTTTTGTCGTGCTTGTCACACAAAAAGGTGCAAGAGCCGTGTGGATATGACCCCACTGAAACGAATGGACCACGTGGTAGTGGTCAACAAGCTAGATACAGGGGATATCATGCATGGACATCACCAAAGGGCCGCACATTGTTTGTACACTCTTACAGTGAACACCTTTTATTTGCTCCTTTGGTCTGCTAAGTAAACTAACCATTCTCGACCTTGCCAAAAATCATGCAAGCCGATCACATTCTGTGCTCTGTGCCTCTGCCAGCATGCAGCATTTTTTTGCGTTCGCACTGGACTGGAACGCAGGCAATGTTTTGCCACGCATCCAATCGTACTGCAAGCGGGGGACATAACTGCGGTGCCATTGACTTCAATGCACCGCCACGCCCCCTCCAGCCCCAGAACGAAGGGGGAGCAATTGCTGTACGTTCCAGGAGCTACCCCTTTGGAACGCCGCAATTGGTGTGAACTGGCCCAAAAGGACTGATGTGGAGCTGATCACTTTTACCATGTCTAAAAGTGTAGTTCCCTTTAAAGAAAGGTCAGTCGAGTAATTTTAAACCTCCAGCTTTTTTTAGAACCCTCCCAATGTCTCATACAGAAAATGTGTAACATAAATCCTAATTAAACGCCATCACCTCTCACATGACGCCCTGTACAAACTCACTTTAATTTAATGCATGAGCACTTAAGTTCCAGGACCTGCCATCAAGCGAGTCATTTCCAAATAATGCTGACTGGTGTTTTCTTTTTCAGTCCGTCACTAATCTGTCAACTTTAGCGCAGAGCGGCGGCCCCGACTGAAAAATGATGAGGACGCAGGTGGGGCCTCTAAAAAGGTGTTTAGGGAGAGTCCTGTCATGCCAATAAAATGCAGAAAACTGCCACGCATTAAGTTAGACTTTCAATATGCACTCACGGCGTATTTTAATTCTGTGCGTCAGACAGGCAGGGCAGTATAGTGAGTTAAATAAACAAACCATGTCAAACCGAAGGATTACCCTAAACAGCCCAATCCAGGAACCAATTACACACCCTCCCCACATTGTGCTGCACCAATATTAAAAGGGGACCTGTCACCAAAAAAAGAGCACATGGGAATGCAGCAGTTCTTCTGGATAAGACAAAAAGTTCAAAGTCAGGGTCCAAATTAAAGCTGAACAAAAGGTTACGTGATTAAAATACATATATGTAAACAGCTGTATTTGCCAAAATGTTTATGCAAGCCATCCTACAACTGTCACACATTGCACAGCAAGGTAGATAACCTTAACTTTTATTGCCTACAATTAAAGTGACATTAAAGCCAGAATATTTAAAAGATTTGGGTAAAGGTCCACTTTAAGGCCTGGTTCACACCTGGGCGTTTTACAGCGCGTTCCTACGCTCTGTAAAACGCTCAACATGTGAAAACCAATGATTGCCTATGGGCATGGTTCCCACCTGGGCGTTTTACAGCGCGTATTTACGCGCTGCCCTACGCCCAAAGAAGTACAGGAGCTTCTTTGGGGCGTATTGGCCGCGGGTATCCATTGGTATACAGCCAGGTAGACCTTGGAAACGCGCATCGCTCCCGGTCCCATAGAACGGGGACAGGATGGACGAACTGAGGTTTGTCCATCTCCTCCTCAGCTCCCCGCTGCCACCAGAGAAGCATGGCTGGGGTGTCGGGCGGGACCACTTCACCAGGTCGTAGAAGCGATCTGGCGACAGCTGAGTCACCAGAAATCGCTTCTATTGTAAAGCCGACAGTTGGCTTTACAAGTTTAAACAGAGTCCTGGCGGCTAGTCTGTCTAAACAGCCCCGATGCTAGCGACATACACTGTACGTCGTTAGTCTTGAAGGGGTTAAACAAGTTATTTAGAGTTCGGTACCCCTTTTGTTTGGATTTATGCATGCAGACAGCACAGAGCCTGTCAGTTTCCCTGCACCCAACATTGGAAGTAAGAAAAAGCACAGACATCTCACCCCTCTGGGTGTCTTGATAAAAACCAGACTGACCATCGAAACGTGACATAAAACGTCCAATCCATGTGTGAAAATGATGTCTCGTGCACCCTGAACCTCTCTCACAATCTGAGCCCAATGAATCCTGGCATTGTCATCTTGGAATATGTCCGTGCCATCAGGGAAGAAAAAAAATCCATCAAAACCTTGTCATTCTGAATATTCAGGTAGGCAGATGACCTCATTTTTTTAGGCACATTACATTGATGAACCTAGACCTGACCAACTGAAGCAACCCCTATAGCTCTTTTTTTTTAGGCCAGGCAGTGTGTGTGTGTGTGTGAGATATATGTTTTTGGTAGATGCTGGAGAGTTAAAGCATATCTAAACCCAAGAAAAAAAAATAGTTGATAATTACTAGATTGCAGCTTACCAGTCCATAGATGTGGTGGCTAAAATTGCTTTTTTTATTATTCAGATTGTGTTCTTTTGATCTGGTGATTCGACTGATGATGACCTTCCTGTCCTAGGGTGACAACACTCATTCAATGTATTTATGGAGGACCAGTGTCATTCTAGGACAGGCAGTGTGTTAGGACTGAAGAGTACCTCCCCCCATCTGGCATCACTGTTAAACTGGTCCTACACAGAGTCTCCTGCCCAACATCCATCATTGCTCCAAGGACCCTGGCAGAAAATAGTTGGATGAACAGTGATTGCAGCTAATCACCTGCAGTCATTAATAGGGTATTCCGACAGTGGCACATCTCCCGATATCAGAATAAAATAGCCCATTGGGATAGCGGAATCTGGTAGACTTTTTCTTTCAAGTTGTGGGAGAAAAGAAAAACGGTCTAACAGCGTATGGCCAGTTTTAGTTTAGATGTTCCTGAAAGTTTCACTTTGAAGCAGAAATCCCCTTTATATGGAATAAATGTGTTTACATTGTTAGAGGTAGATGTCGCAGCTGGTGTGTTCCGAGTAAAGTAATTCAGCTAACCAAAAAAAAAAAAAATGTAGTAATGAAAAAGGTCATACAAAGACCTTCAAAAACTGGGAATTGCGTCTGCCGCCAACATTCCATGCGCGTCCCAAGGCCTTGAGAAAAATCTGCAAGTTTGAAAGTGGACTTATAAAATTCACACTTCACATGAATCGCAAGAAATGAGTCAGCATTACCTAATCACATTCATTTGAGTAAAAATGAATTCTCCTTGCCATTCATAAAAAAAAATGAACAGCATCTCCATACTTCCTCGGGTCATATGGTATCTGACTGCCAGGTGCATTGTGGGTTTTTTACATCATTAGAGGTTGCAGAGAAGTTAACGGTTTTGATGAGACCTATCATAGTAGGCTTGCAGTGAGATAAGAGGAACAGCAACACATAGGTTTGTGCTACACTACAAACTAGCTAATAACCAAGATCTCCAAAGCGGCAGGCATACTTTCCAGGAGTTTCTGTTTTCTGGTGAATCGATACTTCAGCCAATCAGTGCTTCTGCCTGCACTCAGCTCCCGCCCCCTGCCTGGAAGTGGAAATCATTTGGCGAGCAGAAGAAGGTAAAAAGGTCTAATATGTCCAAAAGTATGTGGACAGCCTTCCAACTTATTGAGTTCACCAGCACAAAGCCCGCTCCATAAAAACATGGGGTGGAGGAACTTAGAAGTCTGACTTCAGGACTGCTGAACACCTTTGAGATGAAATGGGACGCTGACTGCTCTTCTCAATAAACATTAGTACCTGACCTCCCAATTGTCTTTTGGCTGAATGGGCACAAATTCCCACAGATACCCTACAAAAATGCAGACAAGCTGTGCAATGCACCTGTATGGTGTCAAGAAGGCACATGGAAAGCAGTTGTTTTCTATGTGCCCTTGCATTGAGTTCAAGAGACACGGTGTGAATGAGCTTTTAAAGTGGACCTTTACCCAAATCTTTACAATAACAGCAAACACACCTTTAGAAATGTTTAGTAATGACAATCTACAAACACATACTTCTAGATAATTGCCGGCTTTGTATTATTTGCATATCTTATTTCTTCCCCAGTCTTCTCACAGTGGCCATGTTTACTAAAGGCAGATTACTAGATCTCCTATTACCTCCTGGAACTATGACACATGTGACTAGGACATGTGACCATGCACATCATCTCAGGGGAGGAAAATGCCTTTCACTGAGATCTCTCGAGATTACAGATGAGATTTCCCAGCAATGCTCTGCAGATGTGACCTTCCCAGGATGCAACACTTGGGCACATTACATCATTTCTGCCAAAGTGGACCAGGCAGTGAAAAAAAAGGAATTGTAAGTAAAATAAAAATGTTTGTTTAGCTAATGACTGTAAGATGATTTCATATCAGCATGCAGAGCTGCACACTGATGTGATTTTTAGTCAAAGGGTGTAAAGGTCCACTTTATTCATCCACAGAACACAGCACTTGTGTCAGCAATACATCACTCTGTAATCTTAAATTACATCTGGATTGAACAAAATCTATGTCTCCAGCTATGTCTAAGGGTCTGCCGAGATCACAGCAGCACAGTAACCTGCATTACACTCATTGGTGGGATATGGCACCCCAATACACCATCTGAACGAACATGCAAAAATGTATTTCACTGTGGTGCAATGGGCAGCAACTGATGCAACTCCTGTGTGTAGGCTGTGCTAATATTAATCAGCCATTACCCTCACTTTGCCGGGCACTCTAATTTTTGTATTTTCACTACAGATAAAAGCTATAATTTTGACGCCAAAAACAAGCTATTCTCCATGCCCGTCCCTGTAAAAGAGGGTATTCCCCAATGGAGGACACAAAGTGTTACAGAACATAAAAGAGCCGCACTTCTTACCTGGGTGACCTCTCTACAACTCCATGCAGCCTGTGCGACCTGGAAGTACTTGCAGGATCCCCGGGTTCACAGTAGTTCACGTGGAGCATGCGCAATGAACACCAGCTGTCAATCAGCGCCCGCCCACTGCAAAGCGTGCCTGCAGAGCGACGGTGGTTGCTAGGTGATGGAACTCCCGCCCACACTGCGTTGTCTGACATCATAGTGCGAAAAAGCCGAAGGAGCTAACACTGGGCTGTGCGAGTTACATTGAGTGCATGGGAAGTGGAGAGAACCCGAACGAAGATTTAGGAGTGATATTGTAGCGATGTGTGATATGTTCATGTATTGCAGCTCAGTAACACAAACTTAATTGTAGCAATCAAATAAAAATGCTTTCCTAATTTACATATAAGACAAATTACCCTGATTTCTAAAACAGAAAAAAGGCACTGCTAATTTAAAAATCCAATTTATTTTTAGTTTTCCATAAAGTGGGAAAGAGATAATAAGATTTATCTGTGACCCACCATTAAAGAGATTTTCCTCACTTCCTGTCCCTGTGACACCAGGACACAAAATATGTGTGTGCAGGGTTTGGCTCCGGGACAGGAAGTCACGTACAGCAACAAAAACATTGTCAGAGTTTTTCCCTTCCACAGTCTACTAAAGGCAATGCAGCTCTGACGCACACATGCCTTGCAGTGCACCAAGATGCTCAGTAACACCCTATATTCCAGTGTGCTGCATTGGAAAAAAAATGCTGTGTGTCTGTTGTTTGTGTCCATCCTTGTGCACTGGCAGCTCATTCAAAGAGAAAGAACATGCATAGTGACATGCGACACAATGGGGGGAAATTGATCAAAACTGGAGCAGGCAGAATCTAGAGCAGTTGTATATAGTAACCAATCAGCTTCAGTTGCCCCTAGAAACCAGTCAGCTTCCCTACATACCTCTAATACAGTTCTACAGTATTAGGTGTGAAGACACAGAGGGACATGCCACAGCCATAGCACACCCGGAGCGGAGGTGGAGAGAAATGAGCGGTCACTGCCGCAGGACCCAGGATCAGGTGAGTATTTCTTCTTTATTTTTACCTCAGTGCAAAACAAGCAGTTAACCCTTGCAGAGCCCCACTGCAAGTGTTCACTTTTTAAAAATCCTTTAATGAAATGTCATAAACGTATAAAATGTCACTGGCGACATTTTAATAAAGTTCTAAAAAAAAGTAAATAGGGCGAATGTGCCAGGATGGGCGCATCAGCACTGTATCTATCGCCACTTGCTGGTGTGGACCCTGCATCATTTATCTTTGGAGATGAAGGACACACATTTGTGACAGACTGACTTGCAGCTCTCTGGAGACTTTCAGGTTTATTGCTGCGCTAATTGTGTATGAGATTTGATCTTTATATAAAGTCGTTAATATATCAGCAAAATCCTTTTTCGGAACCTTTGTTCGTTTTTCTAATCGTTAATGGGGTCGATGACCGTTTACGACTGTAGTGAATGCAGTAAAAAAAAATCCAAGATGGAAACATTTTCTCAAAAGAACAAAATCCTAACAGTGAGGGCTCATTCACACCGGCGTGCACAAGTGAACAGCCTGCGTGCCAGCGCAGAGACCTGCTCACGTGAGGGACAGGTGCTGTTTGTAATTGCGTGCAGCCACCTGTACCTGCCTATGGGAGGACGAAATTAAACGCGGCTACACACCAAACCTACAAATTCAACACCTTCCCAACACCTCCCCCTATCCTGTCCAGTTGCGCTTGGACCAAAAGGTAGTAACTGTAGGGCTGGTGGACAGCAATTGTCCTTTCTGTACCCTGCACAAGCCCAGGCCACTGCACATGCAGTTGTGCAAGCTCCATCCCTCTGACCGCGGTGAGGGGCGTACCTTGGCATCTTCACCTTGGGTACCGGTGGACTATATCACAGCGCTGTGCATACCTGCTGGTTCCAGGGCAGTAAAAAATGATAAAAGCATTATAAGGATAACAAACCTGTAGCATGCACCATCAAAAGCAAGCCTGCTTTCTTATTTCTGCTCCGGCAAGTTTCTTTCAATAGCTCTTTTACAAAGCGCGCTTGTTCTTCAAACCTTTTCATGTCTTTATGTGAAAGACCCGAGTGTCACAGTTATCAACCCCTGTGGCAGGAATTCCTTTTATTCATGTTAATTGAACAGCTTTGATCCTAATTTATATTGGTATCTACGTGAATAAGGACATTTTCTTCCTTTAAATAAAATAAATAAAATGGAATCTAAGTTAATTGAAATCTCTTGTTTTGTACGTCTTTGTTATGTAAATGCACAATCTTGAATCATGACAGCAGAATTAACATCTTTTAATAAAAGAAAAAGAAATCCTTGCTAGACAATAAAAGGATGAACGCCAGGGGGCCCAGTCTATCGATATGCTTTTTTTACAGCCTGATATGGATTTTAAATAAAATAAGTCAAGCCTTTGTTGCCCAAACCAGTCAAATTCCACTTTTCATTTTATCCCAAGACAACTTAGGCTGGTCATACACCCGCGGGCTGAACGAAAATAATTGACTCCTCCATCAACCCAAACAGCGTGTCGATCGAGGAATCCCGCTGGTTACATGGTATTGGCACCTGTCAGAATACCTGATCAGAGCGGGCAGCTCATTGGCTGATCGCTCAAAAATTTTCCAGCCAGCTCCTTTAATCAACTGATCAAGGAATACCGGCTGAAAGGGAGCCGACAGCCCCAGACACTGTGCGAATCTACATTAAAAAACAGCCAAAATTCGACCAGTGTATGGGCACCTTCAGAGGCGTCCCGTGGCGGGGTGACACCCAGTGCGGGTACCGGGTGACACCCCGCAGTGACGTCATCACATATGCTCGTGACGTCATCGCACATGCACGTGATGACGTCACGCTCTGTACCGCTGTTACCTGCCGGCGGCAATCTTGGTGATGGATGCTGGCAGAGAGAGGAAGGGACGTCACCCGGAGGGAAGAGGTATGCCTCCGTGTCCCCTCCTCTCTCTCTCGAGCAACTGTCGGGGTCTCGGTCCTTGACCGAGTGCCCCACTTTTCTCCATTGCTGCAGTGTTTGCAAAGTTTTTTAGGGTCACAATAGAGTAAGAGCCTTCTTCACTCTTTGACTCTCAGGCAGGTTAACATAATAATGCAGCAGCTGATTATCACTATCATAGCAACACAAAGCCGTTGGAGGCCCTTTGAGGTCCATGCTGCTCCATCAGTGCAGTGTTCAGAAAGTGTGTTAGGGTCATAACAGAGTAAAAGAGCCTTCTTCACTCTCTGACACCAAGGCCAGATTAGTATAATCAAGCAGCAACTGGTTATTGATATCTTGGCAACATAAGGGCAAGAGATGTCACTTGTAGACCCTGCTGCTCTCACTGCAGTGTTACCAGGGTGCATTAGGGTCACAGCAGAGAAACAAAGCCTTTCTCACTCTCTGACACTCAGCCAGATTAGTGCAGTCAAGCAGTGGGCATGGGATATGACTTTGGATTTATCATGCTCCATCACTATATTGTTCACAGTGTCAATGTAACAGACCCTTATCTGTAAGAAATAAGTCAATACTTGCTGTATTTTACCAGAGAGGTGTTAAAACAGCATTGTATGTGGCAGACAATAGATGTCTCACCCCCCCCCCCCACCCCCAAACTCTATTCAAGCTTGGCTTCTCCATTTTTACATAAATTGCCTCTTTCACACCTCTTTTAAACCAGTCCTCTCTCTGGGCAGGTTAATAACACCTCCCAGACTCCAATTATGTAAATCAACACCTGGTTGTGACTAACAGATTATGTGGATTGAAGCAACATTCACCATATTTATTCCCAGATAATTTTTGCACAAGTCATTCTGAATGGAGAAAGCTGGTCAGATGACCAGTGAAACGTCTTCAAAAAAAAAACAGCGAGTCCAGTTCCCTTGACTTATTTTTTACAGATATACCATGACCTGGATGAATGAGAACTTTCACAGATGTAACAGACCCTTCTTCACTCTCTGACACTTAGAAAGATTAGTGCAAACAAGCAGTGGCCAGTTACTACTGTCTTAGCAGCACAGGTGCATGGGATGTGACTTGTGATTTATGGTACTCCATCACTACACTAACACAGTCCCTGAACTGTAAAAGACCCTTCCTCACTCTCTGACTCCCAGACAGAAATGTAACAGACCATTCTTCACTGACATTAAGCCGGATGGGTGCAATCAGGCAGTGGCCAGTTCTTACTGCCTTAGCAGCACAGACACATGGGATATGACTTGCAATTTGTGGTGTTCCATCACTCCATTATTCACAGTGTCCCTGAAATGCAACAGACCCTTCCTCACTCTCTGACTCCCAGACAGATTAGTGCAATCAGGCAGTGGCCAGTTATATTCATATATTCTAGTCTTATCAGCACAGCAGAAGAGTACAAGATGGCTGTTTAAACAATTTATCATACAGTACAGATATTATGTATATTATTATATCATGTAGTGTATAGTATCGGCGGCACCCAGCAGACAGTGACCCCTCACTTCCATTTTTCCGATCTCACATATGTGTAGTGGAGAGCATGTTGGGAACATGCTACTGTTACACTAGGCGTCTCCTTACCACGGCAGCTTCTTCAGCGGAGGTCTCAGAAGGTTGTGCCAAGAGCTACAACACATAGCAGTGATGTCAGAGGAGGGAGGGGGCACTGAGGCCATGCAAATGAAAGGCAATGAAATTGACACTCCAGGAAGTGTCAAATTCTCAGCACACCTGAAAGCCTCGAAAACAAAAACAACACATTTTTGAAATAATCGGTATAAAAAAAGTACAAATGAATGCAGCTCTGTATTCATGAATACATCATTAAATGTATTGATTTTAAATGCAAGCAGTGTAAGTACCTGAAATTTAAAGTCCACAGTACAGCAGAGCTCAAAGAGAGGGAGGGGCAAGCAGTACATGGAGCCAATCACGTGTGCTGCAGTTCTAGCGGCACATTGATAGAAGGTGAGAGCAGAGTGACAGAGAGATGAGCTAATTAGTGTGCTGCTTCTCCTTGTACTGTCTAGTCTCAGGGT